GCCGCTTGCCGCACAAAATCGTAAAAGGTCGGGAAGACGCTCTGGAGGCGGCGACAGTGACGCGACGGCGGGGCTTCATGCGGTCCTCTCTGGAGTCGGTGCGAGTGGGGCTGGCGTATCCAGGTCCAGAGCAAGACGAACGGGATCAGCTGGCAGTGGTCACGCGTCGGGCCAACAGCGTCTTGTGTCGGACCGTGCGTAGTTGTGCAGGGGGGGGGGGTCATAGCAGATTTAGAGTTGTAAAGCCGTGTTTAAGTATGGCGCCATGAGAACGTTTAGACCAGGTTCAGATGTGGTACAACGGGTTGAGTTTAGGCCTGCTGAAGGCCATGCCCATCTGGAAAACGCTTGGCAACGGGAGGAGGGGGGCTGTGCCCTCCAGATTTTCTATGATGTTAAACAATAACTATAGAGATGCATGATAGTGTTTCCAAACTGAAAATAACTTTAAGGGGGATAGAAAACCTTTTCCCTCTTACCATATTCTGGGACTTCCAAACGGCCCTGACCAGAACTACACTGCTCCGAAAGGTCCGAATGGGCACGCTGTTGACCTGTAGGCTGAGGCACATGTCCGGCATGGGGCTGCCGTGCCCTGGCCGCTCCTGCTCGGCAAATGTCTGAACGGAACCTAAATAGGGCTCGGCTCCGGCTTGTGAGATTGGATCAGCAATCAACTGACATCATTAAATGCTTTAACGCGCTATCGCCATGATGATTGGGCAAGATCGCTCAAGCCGCCAAACGCAGTTTCGAGGCTCTGGTTCGGTGACATGGTGAGTCGAAGTCTTTGGTGTTATGCTCTTGTTCCTGCAGTCGGACTGCTATCGCCGAGATGCTCGCGGGGCTTTAAGTACGGACTTGTACAGGACTGACACCACTACCAGTCTTCACACTGGACAGCTTTACGGCTGCTTAGCACTTGTTTAAAAGTTCCCTGACAGGCGTGCCATTTAACCTGGCCAAACGAGCTGAAAACAGAAAAAATCTTGCGGTCGCTGAACGCTGGACGACTATGTCCTCTTCGTCACCACTCGCATCCCTCGTAAAATCCCGCCGATATGCTTCAGCAAAGCACCAGAATGCGGTCAGACGCGCGTGACGGGAAAAGCTGCATCAGGAGCCGCGCAATCATAGCGACATCATCCCGAAAGAGCGCAAACTCAAACTGGCAAGCACCGCTGGGGCTCCGCTGGGATCGGCATGCGGCGCGAGCCGCCCGGCCAGACGCATTCCGGCAAGGTCACCGCCGCGGCCGAGTCCTTCACGGAAACGCCGGTCTCGCCGCCCCAGCGGCCGCCGGAGCGGCGGGTAACACGGGCGCCCGGCCGCGGCCCGCCTACCGCCCTGCCAATCGCGTCCGATCGAGGAAAGCGCCGCTGTTTGGCCAGCGGCGCGGCGCGCCCGCCGCCGCCTCGGCGGACGCTCAAACAGCGCCGGTTTCACTTGAGTAAACGGCCGGCCGTGTTGACCGTCCGCTCGTGTCATCGAGAGGATTTTCGCCGGTTTCGTAAGTCGGCGCCGCCCGCGGTGCCGGCGACGTCGGGGCCCGCGGCGGCGGCCGCGGCCTCTGGCGGACAACCGAAGCCGAGCAGCCGGTGACCTCGGCTCACCGGCCTGCGTCCTCACGCCGAGCCGCGGCTGAGCAGCCTTCGGGCCGGGCGGCAGCCATCAGCTTCCCGCCCATGCCGACGGTGAACGACGTATGGAGTGCGAACCATCGTTAGCAGTCACTATCCTCAAACGGGCCCCGGTAAGGCCGCGTCAGCTGGGAGCGGTGGCTGCGCCCAGCGTAGTATGCACACGGGGTCTGGCAGCCGGCGCCGCGAGCGGAGAATGGTCAGAATGTCCGCCGCTGGAGGCCCCGCGCCAGGACTGTGTCGGCACGCCGCGCGCTCGAAGTTCGCTCTGGCTGATGCGTGCCCGCCGCCGGCCGGCCCCGATGGGCGGCGCAGGGACGGGTCCAGGCACGCATTCAGGGGAGCGCCGTCGTGTCGTATCCTTCCGGGATCGAATTCACCTCTGGACATGGTTATGATCTGCCCACGTGTGTCTTTTAACATGAAATATCTGCGAGATCTTAAGTGGCTGGCAACGCCCCTGCACAGGACAGCAAGCACAATGGGGATAAAGCACGGAAATCATTGCGAACAGAAATCAGGCAGCGTAAGGAACAAAACAGTGAACTGGACGGAGGACAATGCATATCGAGATGAGCAAAACTGATGTGAAGACGGGACACCGGCGAAAGCCCGTTATTCCGGCCAGCGCCAGCATCCGCGGGAAACATCTCTACGTGTCCGTTACACCAGCCGACATCAGAGCCTGCGTGGATAGGCAGCGGCCGCGCCATCAAAAGGCGACAGCTTCCCAGTCCGCCGACAGCAGACAGCCGCTGCTAGTGATCAGTCAGCGGAGGTAACAACCTGACAGATATCAGACAGCAGGTTTACAGAAAGCGGAAAAGACTTGGCTGACCACAGACGCATCTGTGCAGCATGCAGATATCACCCACGCAGCCTGCACACCCACGCAACAACTGCACAGGCAGCAGGCAAAAGCTGCGCAGACGGCAGACAACAGCAACAGCAATCAGCAGACATCCTTTGCTCAGAAAGCAAGTGGCGGCAGTACATATGACAGACAGCAGCTGCGCATACAGCACACAGCGGCTGCGCAGACAGCAGACAGCAGCTGCACAGTCAGCACGCAGCAGCTGCACACCGCGCAGTCAGACAGCAGCTGCGCAGTCAGCAGACAGCGGTTGCGCAGACGGCGGACAGACGGGCCGGCCTCGGCGCCTAATCGGCCATTCAGCTAGCGTGCTCGGCGGCGCCCGGACCCGTCGGCATGCACGGCTACATGTCATTGAAAAAATGCAGCTGGGTGGGCCGGCTGGAGGCCGACTCAGGCGGCCACTCGGTGCTGTGGGGCCCAGCAGAGAGGCCTGGCACATGGCACAGAGGCCTGCCATATGGCACAGAGGCCTGTCACATGATACAGAGCTCTGCCATATGACACAGAGAGCTGCCGCATGACACAAACGGTCGCCAGATGGCATAGAAGACACAGTGATCCTGCTACGCAGCACTGCATGGCCCGACACCAGGTAGTGCTGGACAGGATGGCGGGGACTCGCACAGAATGATTCGGTTATCAGATTGTATCCCAGCACCATCGACTCCGATTTTAACCAACAGCATGTGTACTGCATGCAAGAAGCACAGTGCAACACTGAGTAGACGCTGATTTCACGTAAATTCCGTAACGTACGTAACGTCACGTAAATTTTTACGTTCATAAATTCACGTTAATTTCACCTACAACTCCCCTGGTTGATTCGAGCTGATCCGCATCCGGCTGCGCAGTTTGAAAGGTGATCTGCATCCGGCTGCGCAGTTTGAAAGGTAATCTTGTCTGTGGGTCACATGAAAGCCTTCGTGATATTGATATCTATTACATGTAGACACACATTCAACTTTTGTGCTATCTGCTGTGTGTGTCTAAATAAGCTGTCAAAATTCGAAAATACGCCTTCCCCTAGGCTTATCTCTGCGAAGATACCTTCGAGGACTCCAGAAGACGCAATCGGCTTGGTTCTGACCATAACTTCCACACATTTCCAAGCAGTCGATTCCACCTCGACTCAGCGCAAATTTGACCGGTTGCGTTTCTACCGGGAGCCAAGCCCGACTCTGTCTGCTCCACGGCGCTGTCGGACTCAGCGTAGCGTGCACACGGCACTGACTCCGACAGAGAATCGCCCTGCACGCCCGCACCGGGTTCCGTCACAACGTCCGCTGCCGCTCCGATTCCAGCGTTACTGTTGATTCATCCGCGTCTGATACACAGCCGGGTCCGCGCGGAGCCATCGGCTGACCCCGGCTCGGGATGAGCGGATGGTGCCGGGTTGGATGGTCGGCTTTCACGTAAGGCCCCGCAGTCGCCAGCCGCAGGTGCGACGCAGCTCCAACGCCGCCATGGCAGCGCCACGGTGCGCCGACCTCGCTCTGTTGGCGCTGACCGGGCAGGGGTGGTCGGTAGACCTCGGCTTCCGCCGCGAGTCTGGTGGTGACCCCAGCGGCTGCTGGGACGCCTACGCCAGACCAGCCGGCGATGACCCGGCGGCCGAGGTCAGCAGACCCAACAGACGCCGTCGGACTGCCAAGCGGTCGGTCGCTGTCGCGCGGTGAGAAATAATTGGAGGTGGGGCGTGCCGAGCGGGAGGCTCAACTGGGGAGCCCAGGTCGGCGGGTGACCTTGCTGGCATCACCCAGTTCTAAACACCACGGGGTGTCAGAATGGGAACGACTCCAGGTCAGATGGTGACCTCGCTTCCATTACCCGGTCCCTGAAACCGACTGAGGACGGTACCAGGTCAGCCAGCTACCTCGCTTACTTCACCCGGCGTTTGACGCCACGTGATATTAGGCTGGGAACGTCCCCAGGTCAACCGAAGACCTCAGTACATTTCCCCAGCTCTTGACAGCGCTTAATCAGGTGCGCAGGACAGCAGAATTCTGGGGGCCTTTGAGGCCCTGCGAGGCTCCGATACTGCGCATTAAATCATAAAACTTAAACTAACAACCAAACTGCGCAAACGCGACCGAACAATTTCCCATTCTTCTATTATACAGATCGTTTGAATGTGCATTGCGTATGGTTTTTAAATCAAAAGTTAATAGCATGTGAGATTCGCACGCCGTCGACATCGAGACGAGCTTGTAAGCTTTATCGCACAAAAGCTGTCCTTGAAGCACAATGCAAGCTTTGGAGCCGACGAGGCGATTCTCTCACATGGCTTAGACCTCACGGAGAAGCGCAAACACATCTCTGCTCCGGCGATAACAAATCGCGACGGAAACATGCCAGGCAACCGAAGGCCGCTCCGGAGGCGTGCAAACAACTGCACAAACACATTGGCAGAGAATGCGGAGAAGGCGCTCCGACTACAGACGGCCGAGATCGTGCCGGCACGCACCCGCCGCGCGGTCACTTACTGTGCCGAGGCTTCCACACGTATCTGTAGAGCACGTATCCCAGCACAGCGATACTGAGCAGGAACAAAACCGCAAACACGATGGCGGCCGCCGCGGCGCCCGAGCCACACTCAGAGTCCTGTGCCCTGACCTCCGCCAAGGTCACGGCCGCCGCCGCCCAGAACAGCGCCCGTCGGGGCGTCATATTGGTCTGACGGATGTTCAGCACGCCATCTCTCGCAGCCGCACGCGCGCGCGCTCACGCAGGCTCCGCGGCCACTACACCGGAGACACTGGCGGCCGCCCGCCGCACCTGCCGCGGCGCCGGTGCCGCGTTTCGCGGCGCCGCCCGCGGCCGGCCGGCGCACAGGTACGCCGCGCGCAGGGGCGGCGCCAGGCCGGCCGGCCGGCGGGCGGCGGGCGGCGCGCCGGACGCGGCGCGGTCGCGATGGCCGTGCGCGCCGTCGGGGGTGGCGGCGCGGCGGTGAGCGAGAGGAGAGACGAGGCGGCCGACTGCAGACGAGGTCTGTTCCGAGGCTGCTTGTATGGGACGGGTCGTCCGCGAGCGCACCGCTTATGGAACAAATGAGAGAGGTCATGGACACCAGCGAAGTAGCGGGGAGACGCGCATGTCGGGCTGAATTAGTCGGATCAGATCCCGCGTGAAACGACCAGGCCGGGCAGGAGACCAGCGGGGTGGCCGTGCGATAAACAGGGTAGCTTTGAGACACTAGCTGGCGTGTGATTAGACAGTCAGGGTGGCAGAAAGGTAGAATAGCTAGGAGAAGGCCAGGATAATCGAAAGAGGGTCAAGTTAGCTGGGAGATATCTAGGATATGCCCAGGATCGGCTACATTGGTAAAGTGGAAACCATACTAGCCGATGGAGAGCAAACCGGACGCCTGCACCGAATTAGTCTAGAAGGGACAAAATACGCCAGGTGAAGCTTGGGTTATCTCGAAAAGGTAAATTAGCCTGGGCACGACCAAATTAGCGACGAAAAGACCAAAGTGGCCGCAGCAGATCAAGGTGGCCGGAGCAGATTAAAGTGGCCGTGGACGATCAAATCAGCGAGCAAACGATTGTGGCGTGCCGGGCACCATCAGATAGACCAGGAGCGTGGCGCACCGGGCTGTGCGCGAGGGCCGGCGGTGACTGGCTCCAGCTGAAGACCCAGTGACGCCACGCCGTTTGAAAGGCCTCGCGCGTCGGGGCGTCGAATGAATGGGGACGCGTGCATCTGGCGCGAGGCTGGTGACTCGACGGTACGGCATGCAGTCGAGCGGCGCCACCGCCGGGGGCCCGCTTAACCCAGAATTGCTGCCGACTGATTTGGCAGGCGACGCACGGGTCCGCGTGCGCGTATGCATGCTAATGTCCCCGCGGTGTGGTCTTGGAATGGGAGGCTCTGCGGATGAGTGGCTGGCGGGCTTGTGGAAGCGAGCTCGGCTCCGCTGTGGTCAGTTTCCTGCGTGAGTCACGAAACAAAGCACCATGACAATTTACCGAAATCAAAACACTTTAAATCATTTTGAACAACTTATTTTTATTACCATGGTTAACCCATGTTAAGGGCAATGATGGGTATGCTCCACAAAACAATCTCTGTTCTCCAAAAGTAACATAACTTTTGGATGACCATGCCAGTATTGCTGCTTGCCTTTTCAGCTGCAGCAAAAACATCTATTTAGGCTTGTTTATTCATATTTAATGACAAAGTTTGCGATGTTGGCTTCACATTTTAAACGGGATGGTCTGACTTTTTGTTACATACTAATAATTAACTCAGATTATAATTGCTATGCAGCTTAGAGTATCCTGTGTTAAAAATATAGTGCATATATATATATACAGTACAGTCATCTGCAGTCAGAAAACCATGACAACTATAGAAAACATCTGGTTGAAGCAGCCATGAGGAACCTGTTCAAGAAATTTGGGGCAAATATTCAAGAATATGGAACAAAATAAGCCTGTTGCGTGCCTTGTGGCATCATAATTTGCCTTATGACGAAACTCGATGGATTAAAACAGAAAGTGGCTAACTCTGGTTACCAATCATGTGTTGAAAGCATTTAAGGTAAGCAATTACTTAGTCTACAGGATATTTACTGTCTTTTTCCTGCTCCCCAAAACAAAAAGTCAGTACCTTTTTCATGGTCTGCTGGCAGACAGAGTCATCCCACTCACCCCCAAAATATAAATATCAATCATGCCCACCAACCTACGAGATTAAAATGCGAAACAAGTAAGAGGTGTGCGTGATAAACATCTCCAGAGGGCAGAATTTCGCCATCAACCATCAAACACTTCTGTATTAGCTGCGTCAGGTCTGTCCCAAAGCTCAATATGGCAGCGTTAGGATAGCCTTGTCAGGTAGCCTGGTGAGTTAGACACTCGAAAGGCTTAGATTTATCATTATTGAGCACCGCCATGAACCGAGGAAACGGTTAACCGAGGGTTTAACAGGGCAAAAATGACGGTACAAATAAGTTCCGTGCTTCAAATTGTCTCCTTCATTCGCTGTGAATTGTTCACTCTTGGGTGCATATCAAACATGTTTGGGCGGCTGGCGAATAAATCCAACTTCAACACATTTTTATAAGCGCGTGGTTATATAAGTATGCACGACTGCGCTTAGCTTGTCTCCAGGCCAAGTAAGGAATGGGTCTCGGCGAGCTAGCTACTGTGGATACCAGGCATGTGCGCGATCGTAGAAATGGTTTGCAGGATCTGAACCCTAAGTGTAATGATTTTCCCAGATGAATTCACTCATCTTCCTACGTATGTTCGGGTATTCTGGAGCTGCTTTGGTCCTTGCTGATACCCCCTAATTCCCCAGCTTCTTACAATAATGTTGTCAATAACCTTCCGGGATTAATACCATAACTTCCGTTGAAAATGATCTCGCAAGGTCTTCCAGGATGTCTCTGGACTAAATGACCTATGATGTAACATTTACATGAAGCGAGACTAATTTGCGCCACGTGCTTCCAAGATTTGGGCCTCAAAATTACCACAAGCTGGACAACTTGTGGTATGCCTAAAATTATTCGGTGATTTTGTCACAACCCACTGATATACAGCCATCAAATGCCCGTAAATAGCTTTAAAACTTAGTTTGCACAAGTTCCTCAACGAGCTATGTTTTTATAACCTACCCGAGCGTAACAGACTACCAACTTATTTGTGGCAAGCTTGAAACATTCTTAACGGGGTAAGAGTTTCTCATGAGCTCTCGGGCTCCTAAGGCTCAAGGAGCCCTGGTTCCTAGGAACCCTAGAGCCGGGTTCTCATTTAATAAAACGATTTACCGAACTTTACGATTTACGATTTACGAAACGGTTTAAACGATCTACCAGGATCCAAGAACTGTTCATGCATTTCCTTAAAACCTTCTTGGATTAAGGTCCTGTTTGAAATGTACAATTTTTAATTAGGAGAGGTTCGAATTTTCCTGTATTCGGGATTTTTGGAGGGACCCGTATTTTTGGAGGGACCTCACAAGCTCCACATAAAGTCTCAAATGTTACCAAACGATATGGGTGCCATTTAAAGGCTGGTATGCACCCGCGTATCTGGTAGGTGGGGCACAGGTCATACAACCATGGAATGGGCTTGCCATGAATAAGTTGTCATTTGCCAATACAAATTAGCCTCAGACGTCATTATCGAAGAAAATGAACTGCCACACTGAGGTGAGAGCCAAATGTGAAGCCCATATTTCTACAACAGCCTGGTCGGCATATTTTAAGGTGGCTTCTTAAGGAGTTCGGTTGGATGTGATGTCATATTGGTAGCCGGTGGGAGCTAATTGTGTGAGAACCTGGAAGAAAAAATAATACGTGCCAACGACACCTTCAGCCGAAAGCATGTCGTTGCGCAAACGCCGATGTACCAGCAGTGTCGCCTTTATTTCCAATGGTTACAACATGACGCCTAATCGAGTTTCGAGTCGTTGACGAGCTCACCGAAAAAATTCTTGTGGCCACTGAGATAAATCATCAATTTGGAGGTCGGTCAGACGACATTCCAGTCAACGAGCATCTGTCGGAGAGCGTTCCACATTCGAGGTTTGAATTAATATGGTGATCGCAGCTCACTGCGCGTCAGACAATGGCTTGGCATCCTGAATGCCGCGGCCTGTCTGTGTTCGCCGCCCTCTTCGGCCAATGACATTCCGCTTTCTCAGATACCGACCCGCTGTCATGCGTTAACAGTAGTGACCGAACGTTTCGCGGGCACCCAGCCAGCCACATGTCGGGCTTCCACCCGCTCATAGGGATTTCGCTCCGGCCGGAAATGTCAGCTTGCAGCGCGGACAGAGGAGCGCTGGTATTTTTAGATGAGGTAGGTTCTGCCATCTAACGTGACAACTGGTAACCACAATGATTGACTGTTGCCGCAGATCAGCGACAAACTTATGGCCCAGATCTACAGATGCATGCAAATGGCTTTCATTCAAACCGAGTTTGGCTGGTTGAGTAAAACAGGAAAACCTTGATAGGCTGTGTCCTGCTCGAGAAGGGCACTTCCAGTTCAGCGGTGGGTTTCCCCGCCTTTAAGCCAGACAGAAAAATGGATCGTTTAGTGTCGTTGGGCAATAGAACACGGCCAGTCCATTACCAGTTGGCGTGCCAGTCCGATGCCAGCGATTTTTGTGTATTCCGTCAGGCCATGCACCGGAGCTTGTTCCGGGAAACCAGCCCAGACGTACACCACACGCTGCATGTGGGGTCCAGCTCCTGACGACTGACAGGCACGGATCGATCAACTATTTCCCCCCCCCCCCCCTCACAGTGCACACCGTGTCATGTGGCTGCCTCAGCCATAACGTGACCAACAGCACACTTTACCATGTGATCAATATTGGTAGACCGTTTTGTTTTTCGTACCGATCACACTGTTCACATCTCGCTTATTCCACGACACAAGTCTGGGATATCGCCGAGAGTTGTCACGAAGGGCATTTGTGTGACAGCCCATACCATTTTCACTATCCTTCGCATTGTAGGAAACAGTAGAAATTAATCGCTTTTTCCTGTTCCAGTGTATTGCTACCATCACATCACAGTGGCACGCCATCACAGTGCGATCAGCGCCGCTCTGCAGCGCAAACTCGCCATTATGAATCCTCCACTGTTTGTTATCGTCCTTCCCTCTGGTTCATGCGAATACCGACAGCGGAAACATCGCCATTTTCCTGGCGAACTATGACCGCGGCGCATCAAAGACACGGTGATTCAACAGACTATGAAGAGGATGAGACCGCACCAGCGCGGTCATTCGCGGCGTGTGATGGGAACACACGGTGGCCCCGCCCCATCAGCCACCCAACAAGCCCACCCCCGCCCGTCATCGCCACAACACTCCATCCCCACGTCACCGCCAGCAGCGAGCACTCGGAGTCATCAGCCCGACCACAGCGGGCAGTCGGTCGGAGCCGCGCCGGCCTGAGCCTCCCATCGGGACCGCCTCCGCCTCACGACACCCGCCGCGGTACGCACCGTCGCGTCCGCAGCAGCGCCCCCCGGCTCGCGACACCCGCCGCGGTACGCACCGTCGCGTCCGCAGCAGAGCTCCCGGCTCACGACATCCGCCGCGGTACACACCGTCGCGTCCGCAGCAGCGCCCCCCGGCTCACATCCGCCGCGGTACCCACCGTCGCGTCCGCAGCAGCGCCCCCCGGCTCACATCCGCCGCGGTACCCACCGTCGCGTCCGCAGCAGCGCCCCCCGGCTCACGACACCCGCCGCGGTACGCACCGTCGCGTCCGCAGCAGCGGCCCCCGGCTCACGACACCCGCCGCGGTACGCACCGTCGCGTCCGCAGCAGCGCCCCCGGCTCACGACACCCGCCGCAGTACACACCGTCGCGTCCGCAGCAGCGCCCCCGGCTCACGAACGCCGTCGCCGCCGCGTGTCGTCACGGCGTCGGGCGGCATCTCCAGGACGCTCGCAGGTCACCGGCTGGTAGTAGAAATGCGAGACGGAGTGCCTCAGGCTATCGAGCTGCACCCCCGGCCATCATCATCTGCACCATCGGCCATGGCACCCGCAGCGGATCTAGCGCCGGGTCCAGACACGCGGGCAATGGCCGACACGCCACTCCCCACCAGTCACCGTCTGATCTGAGCCCGCAGCCAGCCCAGGGGCCGACAAGATCAGCTGTCGTCGCTGATCTGTGAGTTCTCACAAGTCCGAGAGCTGGGCAGGTACACTTTGAACATATACTCCTTGTGGAACGAGCCCTGTCGGCGGAAACGAGTGTCACTATCACATCTGACCAACGAGCAGTACACTTATATACTTGTCACGTGTATATGTATATATAGTTATATGTATAGTTCTTACATGTGGTGTCGTCAGCTGCGAACGAATGTCAGCACCCTGGTGCAAGCACACAAAACATTTTTGAGCACACCGCCGCAGAGGTACACACAGAGCAGACCGCGCGAGAATTGCAGGCGTCTCCTATTTGCCTAGTTGTGGAAGTACCCAGTGTTCACCACCCAACGATCACCGACAGAGGGAGGCCAGTACAACAGCGCCATAGACGGCCGTGACAGTGAATCTCTAATACCAGCATGGAGATGCACAACTATACAGAACAAGACCACGGCAGCAGCCACCGGCCATCACAACGTGGCGGGACGGCCCTGTCTGCAGCGCGCCGCGGTCAGCATGACCAGACAGTCTCCAAGGCAAAACTGACACTCAGCTAACTCCGCCTCCACCCAGCAGGACTTCTCCATCAGTCGGCGCCCGACACGAGCAACCCACAAAGAAGCTAACAAAACCGACGCTCGGCTAACTCCGGCCCCACCCAGCAGGACTCCTCCATCAGCCGACGCCCGACACGAGCACGCCACAAAGAAGCTAACAAAACCGACGCTCAGCTAACTCCGCCTCCACGCAGCAGGACTCCTCCATCAGTCGACGTCCCATACGAGCACACCACAAAGAAGCTAACAAAACTGACGCTCAGCTAACTCCGCCTCCACCCAGCAGGACTCCTCCATTAGCCGACGCCCGACACGAGCACGCCACAAAGAAGCTAACGTCCGGTCACGCGCCATCCACAGCTGGTCGCGGCCGGCCGTCGGGCGCGCCGCCGCCCCACGCACCGGGTTGATGACGGTGCAGCCAAGCTTGGTGGTGCTGTAGTGGTCGAACTTGTCGCCGCACACGATCACGTCCGGCAGCGGGTAGAGCCGCAGCGCGTGGTCGTGCTGCCAGAACACGGGGCACACGTGCGGCGGCAGCGGCGCCAGGTGACACTGCGACACCAGGGTCGTCACGAACTGCCGGCGGAGAAGGCGGCGTTACACACTGGTGTCGGGTGACAATGCGACACTAGAGTCAAGAGCTGACGGCGGAGAAGGCGGCGTAACCCATCGCTGTCAGGTGACGCTGCGACGCCAGGGTCGTCACGAACTGCCCATGGAGGAGGCGGTGGCACTCTGGTACAAATGCTTGCGTTGAAAACCATCGACCGAAGTGTTGAAAACCATGGACCAAATCGCTGAAAGCCATCGACCGAAGCGAGGCGCGCAGCCATTAACTCTGTCCAGTCACCGCATTGCAAGCAAAACACGACAGCTGACAAAGTGCAGACTTGCGGGTCTCTGTACACGTGACAGCGTGCACCGCATCTCCGGTTGCTATAACCCGACCGCCATGTTAAGGCCTGGAGTGGGAACTCAACGACCACAAGAGAACCATGACACAGGCTGCCAGACCACAGTTACGCCACGTGACAGAACGAGCTTTGAATTGCAAAAAGACAATGGGAACAGCAGGCGGTCACGCTGGCAATATTGGCGTGGAGTGGCAGCTGCTTTACATCAAGACAGTGACGGAAGTCAGGACACCGACTCGCACATCCCGGCTTTTCAGGCAGTCCTCCGTCGAGCAGCAGACACTGGTCTGCGGTCTGCTGCCAGCCGTTAGCACGCCTACACTTACGTGGGGCGGGATGTCAGGACAGTTCTCGGTCGGGTAGTAGATGCCGTGCCGACAGAGCTTAGACAGCACGTTCTCCCGGAACACGACCATCTCCTGCGAACAGAACTGGATGCGGCAAGGGTTCGTCGTGAACACCGAGTTAGGTATCCGCTTCTGAAACTCCGCAGATATGTAGGCTGGCAGCGGGGCCCTGAAAACAGGCAAACATGGCTGTCAGGCATGGCAAACATGGCTGTCAGGCATCGCAAACATGGCTGTCAGGCATCGCAAACATGGCTGTCAGGCATTGCAAACATGGCTGTCAGGTATCGCAGGCATGGCTGGCAGGCACCGCAAACATGGCTGTCAGGCATCGCAAGCCTGCACGGAACAGCACTAAGACGAAGGCCACTTTCAATTGGTTCGTGTAGGACAAAAATGCTGCTAATGAACTGGCTTACAGTATACTTGAATTGCGCGGTGTGGAGACCAGAAGGCAAGCCGATTATGTTTCTTCTTAAAGCTCTGGTCACTTTGTCAGACAGTTACTCTTCGAGGTAGACTTACTGCGGCCGATTTTCTTTTACTCAGCCGCGGGTGGCAAACTGGAGGCCCTTGCAGAGGCTAACTGACGTGACAACGACGGGTACAGCAGGACACTTTCACACGCCCAGGCCAAATCAACGCGCCCATTCACCTGGGAAGAATGGGTGCGATGCCGGGGTCGGTGGGGCCCGGCACGAACACGAACCGGGAGGCCTTCAGCTCGGGAACCTTGGCCACCATCTCGCCCAGCAGCTGTCGACACAGATCAGGGTCGGCTGAGCCCTAGCGGCAGCCACCGTCTGGGACCAGGCGGCGCTGCCGACGCCGCCCGCAACAAGGCGAGGGGACAGGCCAGGTGTTGGCCCTCTCAGAAAACCATCGTCCAGCGCACAGAGGGGTTGTCAGGCCCCCCCCCCCCCCCCCCCTCCTCCCCTGTCTTCAGTCATTAGGCAGTTTCAGTAAGTGCCGTGTTGATATGCGATCACACCCCGTGGGAGGTAGTTCTAGCATACAAACACATTACAGTCTTCAGAACACACCAATACTACATCACGGTATCCTAGCAACAGCTTATGTCAACAAAATGACTGAAGAGCCGCCACATAATGTTTAGGACCAACATTAATAATCCACAGAAAGAGTGTCATTATCAGGAAACATCCGAAGAAGTAAAAAATCAACATAGCCCTCGATGCCACCGTACTAGACGTTTATGACCATGCCCACAGAGTCTATGTACCAGTCTCAGGGCCCAGCCTACCGCCCCCTAGCCCCGTGGACAGAGGTCACGACAGCAGATCGAAGGCCCTGTCGGTGCTGAGAGGGAGCGCCTCACCACGAAGTGGTTTCGCAGCTCCTTGTAGCTGTTGGCGTTCCTTGGCGCGTCGGAGAAGTTGCCCATCATGACGAAGGCCGTGGGCGGAGAGTCCTTGAAGCCGTCGAAAAGGCGTCGCAGGCGGTCCATCACCTGGGCAGCGGCGGCCGGAGGTCACAGACGGACAGGAAAGAACACCACCCGACCACGGCATAGCTCGCGCAGGCTACGAAAGAAGTATCGGCAAGCAAGCAGTGAACTTTCCCGATCTGGGGGGGGGGGGGGGGGGCACACTTTCCATGGGAAACAGCGACAAAGGCGCGTAGGGGTCGCGTGAACTAGTCTCAGGGTCTCTCAAGAGCTATTGGAAGGGAAGGCCGTGCAGAAATTCTAGCAGTGGCGACTGGGGCGCCATTAAGCCAAAAGGGGCGGATTTTGTATCGGTCCACCGCCAGGGAAGTTTGCCACCCGGAGGCATCTGAACTAAGGCAGCAGGACATTCTGAACGGTTCCAATGTGGAGTTCGGCCAAGCGCTTCTCCCGCTGCAGCGAGATGCTCTACGCAGCCGAGCACCGCCCAGTAACACCGCACATCTCAGGAATAAGCAGCAGCTGGTGCCAGCGGGGCTCTGGTGGGACAGATGCTGAGGGAGCGGCACACTGGCGATACTGTCGCCTACGCCAAGGACGCCTCATCACAGTCTCTCTGCAAAAAGCTCCTCATCACCATACACGGCATGTCGTCAACGATGATATGGCTTTTTGTTTTCTGACTGAGGTGCGCAGGTGTGCGGCGCCCTGCGATATCACAGCGGCGTCGTATAACCAACCTGAGGCTGGTTCAGCCAGACGTCCGATAGGAAGACAAACATGCTGCCATCTAGCTGTTTTTCCAGCACTTGAAGCTCAGTGTTGGCCCGCGCACAAATGTGATTTGGTCCTCCAAACATATTTTGGTTTCCAAAATGGTTCCTGTGGGAAACAATGCACTCGGGTACCGACCAATCAACAGAGCAAGGACGCATAGACAGGACAATCATCCAAGACGGCCACTACCCCAAAAATAGGAAACAATAGTGGTAGAGTGAACAGCAAATGAGATCTGCGCAATGTTAAAGACATTAAGGAAAGCACCGCAAAAGCCGCACACAACGCCCTGTACGCGAGACAAACATGTGAGGCACCGACAGCTTTAAGAATCACATGCCAATACAGTCTCCAACCAAGCGCATCACTGGGTTGCGTAGGCCCGGATCCGCGGTCAGGCGGCCGGCGACCCACCGGAACGTCTCGGCGTCCTCGGCTGGAGGAAAGCCCATCACGGTGCAGTCAAACACGTTGTCGTCGTAGCTGCCCTCGCACAGTACGAAGCAGCCTTCAGAGAACATGCCGATCGGAAACCTGACGGACAGGAGGCGCCCGCTCGTGACGGCGGCGGCCAACCGTTGCTCGTGACCGGTCGCGTAGGCCACACACCGAATATGGGATGAGTGCGCGGCTCAGGCCAGTCAACTGTGTACCTTACCGTCTTAAGACGAGTGAGCCGCTGCAGCTTAAGCATGCATTCAACGCGTGGAAAGTAAGTGTAACCGCCTCAACACCTACTCACAACGATGATGTCCAACGACCATACAGGACTTGAAGGTTGTCCACTTTGAATAAATAGACACAACAGTCCGGAAATAACCCGCGCAGCCACAGACAGCCAGCCGGCTCTTGCCGCACCTGCCGGCGCCGACACGTACTTGGTGTCGTCGAGGTTGAGTTGGACGGCGCCGGTGGGGTCCTCCAGGAAGAACTTGCCCTCGGTGAGCTGGGTGAGCATACCCAGCACCAGCACGTCTGTCAGCCGACTGGAGGAGCCCAGCAGCAGCTCCACCGGCTGTAGCCGGAAACGGCGCCGGCCGCCCACCGCGCCCTCCGCTCGGAACAGCTCGTTACGCAGGCAACGCTGCTGGATCAAGTGGTACCTGGCGGCGGTGGGAGAGAGGGAGGTGAGGCATCAGCGGGCAGGCACCGCTGCTGGATCAGGTGATACCTGGCGGGTAATGTTGGAGGGGGAGGCAGAGGGGTCAGCAGGCAGGTAGCGCTGCTGGATCAGGTGATACCTGGCTGCGGTGGAAGAGGGGGAGGCGTCAGCGAGCAGACACCGCTGCTGGATCAGGTGGTACCTGGCGGCAGTGGGGGAGGGAGAGGCGTCAGCGGACAGGCACCGCTGCTGGATCAGGTGATACCTGGCGGCGGTGGTAGAGGGAGACAGCGGGCCGTGGTCGACCGACAGCGCTCCGCTGGTGGCCGAGTGTGCGGCGCAGTGCAACGCCGTGCACCCGCATCGTTCCATTGTTACCCGCTGATTCCCAGGGCAGGGTCAAAGCCAGGAGACAAGGTGGGGTCGACAAAAACTGTGGAGGACAGCGGGCGGCGACCACGTACACCGCGTACGCAGGCGCTGCGCATAGACGCACGATTGCCACCCACGTCAGCACATTATTACCATTACCCGATAAACATGCAGTGCGAAAGCTCGAATGATGATAAATGACATAAATAAATGCAATTACCGTCCAAAGGCACACTGTTCCAAAATCGAAAAGAAATGCTACAAAGTCACTGCAAAGCACACTTGGCGCTTGGGGGGGGGGGGGGGAGAGAGATGTCGGGAGGCGTTGACTCGGTTAACTCTTCTATAAACGCTGCATGACGCAAATAATGCACCTTAAAGGCAACTAAGTAACAATTGGCTGGTCAACGTTGTCCGGGATGACTAAAAAATAAACTTAAGGCCTTTGAGGGTGGTGATGTCATTTGCAGACTTACTACCAGACTTGTTTCGTGCTCTCCGTTACAATCTGCGAGGCAGACAGCGAGTTACGAGATCAAACCCCCCATGGCTGCCACAGGCGGCGTTCACTAACCGAAACAGCTTACCACAGCTGCCACAGGAGACGTTCACTAACCAAAACAACTCATTCACAGTGAAGATATGCCAGAAGACAGCCGATGGCACATCCGTGTAGATTGGTTTTCTTACCTGCTCCTGAAAACTTCGGCCTTCGAGGCGACGCCATCAGGAAGGATAGACTTGGGAGGCAGACCAAGCAGGTCATCCTTCAGGAACTTCTGCTTGTTGGTGCAATACGTGAAGGACGGGAAGCTAAATGCGTCAAACACCATAAAGAAGTCAACCTCGCCCCGTGTCTCGCTGACGCAGTCCTGCAAACGAGACAGCACGTACATTGGTGAGAGGCAGTGGACATCAGCCGTTATTGCAGGGCCATAGGTACAGCAGAACATCTGACAAAACGGCCCATTCGCCTGCCGCGCCAGGAGCGGTCCGTCCACTGAACGTCGGAGTTTGGCAGCCAAGCGCCACACAGTCTGAGGGAGCGGTCCGTCCACTGAACGTCGGAGTTTGGCAGCCAAGCGCCACACAATCTGAGGGAGCGGTCCGTCCACCGAACGTCGGAGTTTGGCAGCCAAGCGCCACACAATCTGAGGGAGCGGTCCGTCCACTGAACGTCGGAGTTTGGCAGCCAAGCGCCACACAATGAGGGAGCAGTCCGTCCACTGAAAGTTGGAGTTCGGTAGCCGAGCACCACACAATCCGGGGGAGCAGTCCGCCCAATGGACGCCGAAGTTTGACAGCTGAGGGGGTATACAGTTTTTTAGTCCTGACATACAATGTGAATTGTAGATGGGTGTGGCTTTTAGCAATATTGCATGCTGCGAAATGAAAGTATGACACAAAAATAATACGCTACTACGACGTGACAAAAAAACGCTTATGTGTTAAGTTCGCATTCTCCCAGTTGAAAAGCTACTTAATTTAGCGTCGGATGGTAGTTCCTTTATCGAGACGCATACAGAAAAGCTGGTGAAGATTCGCAGTGTCACTCGTCACAGCAGTCTGGAATACAAAATTCAAAATTTCCTTTTCCATCAACGATTCACTTCTTGCCGCACAGTAGGAGAGTTAAAAGAAAATGTTGAGGTTTTCTACCATCATTTAGCACACAAAAAACTTATATGGTTGGCAATTAAGCACATTTAAATAAGACAACTATGGCTTATCTCAGACTTCCTCTTCAACTATCCACAACGCTGGAAGACAACACCGTGGGCTGTGCGCTGCGCGCTCCACTGACCATGATGCGGCCATCCAAGGGGAGCTTCGAGAGCACAGAGCGTAGCGCCTGGCGCCGATCAGCGGTGAAACGCAGACGATGGAGCCCGCAGCGGGCCGGCCGGTTTCGTGTAAGACACTGGCGATGCAGCCCGCAGCGGGACGGCCGGTTACCTGCAGAACACTGGCGGTAGAGCTCGCAGCGGGCCCGCCGGTTACCTACAGATCACTGGCGATGGAGCCCGCAGCGGGACGGCCGGATACCTGCAGATCACTGGCGATGGAGCCCGCAGCGGGACGGCCGGTTACCTGCAGAACACTGGCGGTAGAGCTCGCAGCGGACCCGCCGGTTACCTGCAGATCACTGGCGATGGAGCCCGCAGCGGGACGGCCGGTTACCTGCAGATCACTGGTGATGGAGCCCGCAGCGGGACGGCCGGTTACCTGCAGATCACTGGCGATGGAGCCCGCAGCGGGACGGCCGGTTACCTGCAGATCACTGGCGATGGAGCCCGCAGCGGGACGGCCGGTTACGTGTAAAACACTGGCGATGGAGCCCGCAGCGGGACGGCCGGTTACCTGCAGAACACTGGCGGTAGAGCTCGCAGCGGGCCCGCTGGTTACCTGCAGATCACTGGCGATGGAGCCCGCAGCGGGACGGCTGGTTACCTGCAGATCACTGGCGATGGAGCCCGCAGCGGGACGGCCGGTTACCTGCAGATCACTGGCGGTAGAGCTCGCAGCGGGCCCGCCGGTTGCCTGCAGATCACTGGCGATCGAGCCCGCAGCGGGCCGGCCGGTTACCTGCAGATCATTGACGATGGAGCCCGCAGCGGTTGCCTGCAGATCACTGGCGATGGAGCCCGCAGCGGGCCCGCAGCGGTTACCTGCAGGTCACTGGCGATGGAGCCCGCAGCGGGCCAGCCAGTTACCTGCAGATCATTGGCGATGGAGCCCGCAGCGGTTACCTGCAGATCACTGGCGATGGAGCTCGCAGCGAGCCGGCCGGTTACCTGCGGAACACTCGCGATGGAGCCCGCAGCGGTTACCTGCAGAACGCTGCGGATGAGCTCCCGGTCGATGTTGCACGAGTCCAGCGGCTGCTTCTGGATGGTGAGCAGGATCTTGTCCAGCCACAGCTGCCGCTGCTGTTCACTCACTTGCAGCAAAGCCTCCACGACGTAGTTGGCGGCCTCACTGTGAACGGCATCCGACTGGGTTAAACCGACCGTCACAATAAGCAGCATACGAGTAAGCAGCATAGCAGCACATTCTGACATTCTGACTGAACACCAAATATGCGAATGATCACGAGGCCTGGGGCGAATGCGTGATTTCCCTGATATGTTTTGTCACATACGGAGACGCAATTTTGATGTATGTATGTTGACATAAAACCATGCTGAGCAAGGGAAGTGACAATCCATAACGCAAACCACCAACGCCGCAACATTAGGAGCCACAACTTCCAAAGCCGGAGAGAGTACTCACAAGGCTTTCTTCACACAATATCAAACAGCTCTGGTCAGACTGTTCTCTCCCCAAAAACGCTCGACACTGTTTCCCATGACAGGCGAAAGTAGTAAGCCGTCGCTGACCATTGGTCCATGTCTGCCACCAAGAACACCATCCAAGGCCAGCAGGCAACCCGTGCAACCCCTGGTACTGCTGCAACCCAGCGCCACCTCGGTTATATCGCCCTCCACAACCGCCTGGGGAAGGGTCCCATCCTGATCTGTCACAGGCTGACCCGAACAACCGCCTGGGGAAGGGTCCCATCCTGATCTATCACCGGCTGAACCGAACAACCGCCTGGGGAAGGGTCCCATCCTGATCTATCACCGGCTGGCCCGAACAACCGCCTGGGGAGGGGTCCCATCCTGATCTATCACCGGCTGACCCGAGACATTGGAACGTTTATCGACAGCAGTGCTCAATCGCAGCCCGCCACGATTACGCTGCCATATGTGACATAGCTGATGAAGTCACAGAACGCGACGATTTCCTTCTCATTTAACAAACTTTTGGAATAACTGGAGCTCTCCGCGACTTGTACTTATGGCCATATACCGTTGTAATTGATGCAGAGCGCAATGAAAGTTCCTACACATTATCAGCATACATTGATGTCAAAAAGGTCAGCACCGATATGGATAAACACATACATGTTGACTATGCAGGACAAATTAGCCTGGTGCGACCTCATACAGTTTCGCTGCCCCTGACTCACACAATGCGGTAAATTCTATCAGGACAATTCAAAACATAGAAATTCAACATCAAATGGATGCCCACAAAAAAGAAGAAAATCGTGCAACTGACGTCATACCGTCAGGTTGAAATTTCAACTTTAGGCCACCATAAATTTCAAAACATGACTGCAAAATCCATGACTTGACAAAATGACGAATCTCTTCTAAGCTCGAACATGCCAAATGAATCCTCTCGCCGGTTTGAAGGCTTGACAGCCAATGTTACAGGGTTTGTGAGTTATTCCACGAAGCTAGGAGCGGTTTACTCGCAATATTTAACCTCCAAGCGACGGAAGGAATTAAAAAACAACCTTACCTTTTCAAGGTGTAGCCATTCAGCCTGAAGGTGGAGTTTACTTTCTGCTTCAATGGTGCTCGCTCCATGGCGGTGCGGTCGATGGTCCTCGCTGGCCCCTACTTCTCAGACGACTCGTCCAGCGCCAGCCCTCACAGCTTGTGTTCTATGCATGCATGCAGTACATCAAGTGTTATAAATTATGATTAAATATTTTCCTTCTGGACATCATATGCATCTGACACCGAGAGACAATATGTTTACCATGACACGCACTCCATGATACTTACATGACAAGAGGTGCGTGCCAGATCAACACTATCTTCTGTGTTAATGACATCAACATGAAACATTTGCAGACCTGGTGTAACCGGCCACTTTAACCACGTGGTTCATTACGAGCGAGGCCGTGCGAAGAGTAAATCTTGCAAGGATGATACCATTTTGACAGAGGAGCAAGGCCAAGCCTGGCCGTCACGCTTTCTTGAAGCTTACGCGTTCGCATCCACTGATGATAGGTTCATGGAACCTTCACCAACACAAAACCTGGGTTCTTAAAAGTCCTCCCACATCAATTACTGGATGTTCGCATGCGAGCTGTTCATCATGGAGATTTCCCTTGAAATATTGCAGCATCACAACATCACCTACTTGTCTGAATAGCGGAGAAAACGTAAGGCTTTCTCATTGCTGAAAGAAGGAACTGAAGAAAACCGGTCGAAACTGGGCCACCACGTCGATGACCCGATGGTCGTGGCTACACTAGACTAACAGATTCTGACAGGGTAGAAAATGGATGATCCTGTTGGCAGACGTGAGCCTATGTGTACAGACGGTCGCTGGTTATCATGCTTTAACTATGGGTTCACCTGTCTCTGGACATTTTTTAAGACTTGAGTCAGATCTCAGCAAGCAGAGCAGATTCACATCAGAGGTCAACTGTGCAGAATAGGCCAATGTACTGGCATAAGCTCACTTACTCTCTCAAGAGTATCAGACACTTTGGTGTGCCATTGAATCCACTGAAAAATGACCAGTGTCACCTCTTTCTCAATCCACCTCGAATACCAGACCCTATGACCTAAGCCACACTAAATTGGGCCATAGACACCCTGCTAGTGTTCAACTTTGTTCATTGAGACCAACTTCAACCAGAAATCTATATTTTTCAATGCTTTGTAAGCAAATGACAAAAAGTGGACCAGTGAAAATACATTGATTTCATTAATTAACATTGTAACACCAAACCATGCCTACAGCAAGATATTTTGCAAGCCTGTTGCTTGTAAATCTGCATAAACATGCTATCTTAGGGGACCTCTGTCCATGGATTCTCATACAGGTACCCATGTTTAAATGAGAGGTTAAGGCTGTTGGTACCTGTTGCCAAAAGTGTCCAGCTTCATTAGCTCAGATTTTGGCATGATCTATATGATACCAACTAACAGATGTCACATCTGTTATCACCTCACTTGTTCCATGCTGGACATGGCCTGTCACTGGTACCATTTATCTGCATAAGAACATTTTCATCACCTACATTACCCTGAATGGCTGGGCTCGGAGTAGGCTTAGCAGTGGCACACCACCTGACAACCTCGTCCTCTTTTTTTGTATCCACAAGTCTCTTGATGGACAGAGGCTCTGAACTGCCCATGCCATCTTCCACACAATAGAAGCACATACTTGTGAAACACACTGCACAATGGAATCCTGCATTTGACACATCGCAAGAGTTGCTGGTTGTTCATGAGCTGGCAGGATAAGCAAAAGGAAAAAACCTTGAGGGAGATAAACAACTGCATCTATAAAAAGCATTAACATCAGGAGAGGAACAGCAAAAGTGATGTAGGCATATCTCTATTATGGAAATTACTATGGCAAAGCAATTTACTGCCACTAAATACAGTCTCAATAAACAGATGACAGCACAGATATCTAACCCAAGATGCATGGCATGCTGTAAAGTTTGTTTTTACTTCAAGGCTTACAATCAGCCAGAAACTACTATTGCAAATAGTGGTTAGCTGCCACAACAGAACAAGGTTTGCAGTTGCAAATAAGTTGATTTGAGCAAATCTAGAGAAACCCTTTACTCCTGCAGAGCAAAGGTGTGCACTATGTTCACATTCACAAAGCATGGCTCTGCAGCATACATGCATTGGTGGCTTAGTAGCAAAAACCAATGGGAGCCCAGACTTACATGAACAAAACCACTGCCCTACGTTGCAAATGATCCCGCTACAGCTTACCTATCTTCCATTCACTCCAATACCATTTCTATGCGTCAGCTCAGCTTAAACCAACACCAAGGGAGTTGGACTTTTCTCGGCTTAGATGCATGGAAATTGGAACTCATGAAACAGCAGGCGCCCATTCGCAACTTCCGGAAAATACCACGCTTACCAACGCTGATGCCGCAATACATTACCCCGGTAACCCATAGCTCCTTGTACTTTCCCGCCATCCTTTGAAGCTTATTCTCCAGAATCGTCACTTAATTAGAGAAGGACATAAGTACCAAGGGTATTTAGTGTAACGAGACTTTACGACGCGTATGTATGTGGTATAGTGTGGTGGAATTGTATATTTGTAACAAGTACGGATGTAAGCACGTGAGCGCATTTCAAGCAGCGGTCAGACTTGCAAGCTCACGGCTCTAGTTTTTCAAGGGCTGTGAAGGTAGCACGATAGTTTATATTCACGTCTGAACTAACATCATTTTTCTATGTAAAACAATTATTCACTCGCCACGATGTGCTGCAAGCAGCCCTGCAGTCAGCATTGTGCGCACAACAGGGGCGGTATACGGGCGCCGGCTTCGCGTATGTCGCAGACCCGGCCGTACGCGGCGCCAAGTGCCAGCTGATTCGGAAACTTGACGCCAGGCGGCGGTGTCGTCTGCCGGCCGCGCCGGCATGGAAGTCGAGGTGGGCCGCCGAACGATGGCTTCGAATGAGGTGCTCCAGGTGATAAAGCTGGAGGGTGGGCGTCTGTAATATAAATCACATTTTGTTCCGGCTCAAGTTAAATGTAAACCGTGGAGAAAGGCTATACGGGCTACTTTGCACCGTGATCTCTCTAGGCTCTAGGGTTGGTTCTGAGGAATGACCAAAGCGGGTGGAACTCTGTGGCCTTTGGGGGGTGGAGGTCCTTCAAAGTGTTTCAAATGGCTTTATACTGAGTTTTGACTTGTATAAAAACGTGAGTCTGCTACTGCTCGCTAATGGAGGCAGATATTTTAGAAATTGTTTGCGTTCAGAAGCAAAACGTAACTTGTTAAATTCCAAGACTGTTTGAGCGAGGTAAACGAAACAATGGCACGTGCAGTTGGCACATTTTCCCCTTCTGGTGTAGTGTGCTCAGTGCTGTGATGCTCTGTGGTGAACGCTGAGCGGGCTGTTCCAAGACCGCACACCCTACCTGTGTGGCAGGCAGGGCGAGAAGCCCTGCGCTGAGCCGCGCTGCATCGACAGGGTCCGCTGGTATATCTTGCGAAATTACGGTGGCGGCAGGCGCCGCGCGCTGGCCGACAAGACGAGAGCTTTCGTTCTACACTCCTGTCGTAGCGACAGCTTGGCCTGCCCGAAGATCCAGCACGAACTTATATCGCATGAGCTGTAACGTAAACACGGTTAATCGCACCGCCAGCAAAACTTCACAACACGTGAGGGGGAAAACAAAGAAAAGGACCTAACACCCATCAAGCTCCGCGCACACACGTTTGCGAGTTTAAAGGGTATGGGTATCCAAGTTGAGGAGTTCCGGGGCATGGGGCATGAGCTGCATCAATTGGTGTTGTCTGTCATGAACACAAGCATACTGTTGTCTGTCACCGATGAAAGGATGGTTCAGAACGGAGGTAGCCAGTTTTTCTGCGTATGTGTAAAGTCTAAGACATCATTTGCACGTCACTTGGCGTGATGTTGTAACACTTTGCCGGGCCTAAAATGCCCATAGAACCAGGTCGGCAGATTAAGGGGCACAGTGGTGTCCTACGTGCGGCGGTGGCCGAGAGGCCCATAGTGCTGGGCAGGGGACGGAGTGGAAAGCAGCGCGGGCGCTCTGGACTGCGGGCGTTTCGGAATTATATGACCTTAACAATTCCATCAACATGTCTCCTTTCTGGGCCTTTTGTATTTATACATATACCAACATTGATTTACACTTGATTGAAATAAGACGGTTACTGGATCAGAAAGAAGCAATATGCACTTGTGAGCAAGCACGTCGGCTTGCTTACATCGCTATTCACGTTGGTCGATGCATAATGACTCGATGAGAAATGGTGCAAGGCTGAACCGGACGGGATCTCGTGGCTCCTACGGCAGCATTGGCACCAAGCTGAAAACTAAAGTCGACTTTTCGATGCACCAATACGCACTTACAGCTTGAAACGGCACGCTCTTCCCTGTTTAAATTTGCCGTGAATGCTCAAATTTGTACTCTTCATCACTTTTTAGGATATCGAATTCCTTTTCATATGAATACGAGTCTGTATTGACGTGACTGTGATAAAGTTACATATAATGTGATACAGCTGCATTTACGTAAACACGAGTGGTTTTCTTTGCTTCCTTTATTTGTTTGCGTACATGAGGGACATTTTAAGACACATTTTCCCATGCCCACGCAAATGCGTGTTTGACAGTATCACGTCCGCGCGGGCGAGTGTCTCGGGTTCGACCCGCTATCGACAAATGCGATTGATGCTTTGTGCTTCAAACCCCACACGCGCACGATTCGGAGTCTTGGCGGCAACTGCATTTCTGTGCCGCCACATAAAATAAACGAAACAACGGGCTGCATAATCCACGCATCACTTTCCCTGCATGAAGGGAAGTGATGCAAATACATCGCATCCCAACACCTCCCCCCCCCCCCCCAAGACGCTTGCGGAAGGGGATGACGCGAGACGTCTAACATAGGTACAGGGTTAAGATAAGTCTAGGCTGAACGAGCTCAGGCTGCGGCAAAATTAGAAAGACACAAGGGCTGCCGGCTGACACGGGGAGGCGGGTGGGGGAAGGGGGTCGTTAACACATACGTATGCGTCGGGTCTGACCACCTGATTGACAGACACTGTGGTCGGCGGCGGATCCTCGGCTCCCGCTGGGGCGGGAGCCGGGGCGGGGGCGGGGGCGGCGGTGACGCCACAGGCGCCGGGTCCGTGATGGGCGTGATGTAAGACGCAACGCACGTCTGGTCGCCGGCCAGGCTGGGCGGCAAGTCGGCGGCGACGTCTGGAGACTCAGCCGTGCTCGACACCGGGTCTGATCACCGGACAGACAGCCGCCGAGTGGGTCGAGGGGATCGGAGCGGGGGTGACGGCGACAACATAGGCGCCGGCATGGTGTTGGCGGGTGTGTCAGCCGCGGGTCGTCGCAGGCCGCCGGTCAAGCTGGGCGGCGCGCTGTCATTGGCGACCTCTGGCTCGGCGGTGCTCGGCGCTGAGAGGTCCTCGTCTCCGGCTCCATCGGGGCGGGTCAGGTGCTTACTGGGCACGACGCCGGCGGCGCCACCATCTGGTCCATCCACTCCGTGATTCTGACTGTCGCTGGTCGTCGCGCTGTCCTCCTGACTGCCGGCGCTGGCGATCAGGGGTTGAAGCGGACGGAGGAACCGACGATTCCGCCAGAAGATGCGGCCGCTCGGTAGCCGGACGAGGTTGTCACGCCGCGATCCGACGCCGGTGCCGGTGCCGGTGCGGTCCCGCAGATGAGAGGTCGGATCCTGGATGAGGACACGCTGTCTGACCCGCAGCGGGCGATGACGCCTCGCTGACTTGCCATACCGCTCTACGGAGCGCTCCAGAAGTTTTGCCGCCTTGGTATCGCAGTCGTCCGCGGCCCCCTGCCAGCGTTGAGCGAACGTATGGTGGTGCACCAGAACTGCTAAGCACAGCGGGTGACCGTACAAGATCTGCGCTGGAGATCGGCCGTCCGCCACGGGGTGTTTCTCAGCTCCAGGAAACCGGCTGTGAAATCGTCCGCGTTCAGGTCTCCACCGGCGGTGGTTTTCTGGACGAGCCGTTTGACGACCTTGACGGCCGCCTCTGCGTGCCCGTTGGACTGCGGGTAGCGAGTTGTTGACTGTTGATGGTCCACACCCCACCGGCGGAAGAACTCACGGGTGAGCCGGGCGCTGAACTGGGGCTCTCCGTCGGTCCTGATGTAGGCCGGTACGCCGGTGGCGGCGAACATGCCGCGTAGGCTGCTCACCAGGTCTCTGGCTGACGTCTCTTCAGTTACCCGTGACACTAATGGCCAGCCAGAGAGCCGGTCAACGTAGACCAGGAAGGTCCGTCCGGCCCAGACGAAGTAGTCCGCGGAGACGGCTTCGAACACTCGCGAGGGTGCCTTCTCTGTCATCATAGGTTCTTTCTGCTGACTGGGCAGGTGCAGTTGACATTTGCTGCAGGCGCCAATGAAGCTCGTGATGTCCAGGTCCATCCGGGGCCAAAACCCCGTCTGCCGTGCCCGCCTCTTGGTCCGCTCGACGCCCTGGTGGCTGGCGTGAAGTTTCTGGAGGGTGGCGCGACGGAGGCACTGCGGTATTACCAACCGCCGGCCGCACACCACCAGGCCGTCATCCACCGCCAGACAGTCTCGGAGGTCCCAGTAGGGGTTCAGCAGCGGCTCCAGCTGCGTCCGATGCTCCGGAAAACCGGTCAAGATGGCATATTTCAGCGCAATCATCTCCGTGTCCTTCTCGGCGGCAGCGCTGAGCTCTGACAGCGCGACGTCCCGGAGCGGGCTGGCGCCACCGTCGGTGTTGGTGTCGCCATTGAGGAGCCTGGCGACCATGCTGGCGATCTGGTGACTGACGTCTTGCTTCACTTCCTCGTCGTCAGGCGTTGGGTCATCCACGGGCGCCCGAGACAGCGCGTCTAGGATGGCGTGCAGCTTTCCCTGCCGCCAGGTGGCGACGAAGTTCAACTGGCTGAGTCGTTCCCGGAGACGCTGCAGATGAGGGTTTTCGATGTCCGCCATGCTTTTCGAGTTGAGAATGGGGATCAACGGCCGATGATCCGCCATCACCTCGAACTGTTGCATACCGCTGAGATATATGCTGCATTTTCGGCACTCCCACGCCAGGGCCAGCAGCTCGAGTTCAATCACTGCGTAGTGTGACTCCGTCTCCAACAGGAACCGAGATCCGCACTGGATCAGGCGCCACCGGTACGCCATGTTGAGCTGACGGAAACAGAAACCGAGACCGCCGTCGCGGACTGCGTCAGTCTCCAGCTCCGTCCGCCGCAGCGGGTTAAAAAAAAGTCGACCACGGGGGGCGACGGCAGCGCCATCTTCACGGCGGCGAACGCCTGATCGTAGGCCGGCGTCCATAGCCAGGCGTTCCGCGGCCGCATCAGCTGACGGAGCGGCTCAGCGGCCGCGGCGACGTCAGGGGAGGACCCCAACTGGTTGACTAGGCCCATGAATGATCTCAGGTCGTTGACATTGCTGGGCTTCGGGAACGACTTGATGGCTCGAATCTTCTTATCGTCAGAGGTGTAGCCAGTCGAGCTGATGCTGTAGCCGCAGAATTCTACTTCCGCCTCCGCGAAGCAGCACTTTTCCGGGTTCAGGGTGATCCCATGCTCTTCACACCGCTGAGGCATTTGGCGCACATGCGCTACATGGGCTTTGTACTCAGAGTCATAGGCGAGCACATCGTCCACCATTTTGCAGGTGTTCGGGATGTCTCCCAGGGCGGCATCGCCGCGCTGGTTGTACACATCGCCTGAGCTGACGATGCCCATTGGGGCCCCTTGTACCTGAACCTGCCCACGGCGTGATGAAGCACGTCAGATCTTGATCCTTCTCTCCGCTTGGGACCTGGTGGTAGCCGGCCCTGCTGTCCAGCTTGGTGAAGACGGTCGCGCCAGGCGTGATTGCCGCCACCGCGTCCTGCGGCGAGTGGACTGGGTGGGCCGGCATCTTCACGAATCGATTCAGCTTCGTAAAATCGACCGTGAGGCGGCAGCCTGACACTGCACCATCTGGCGACCGCTTCGCCACCGGGACGATGGGGTGACACCACGGCGTGGCGTGCTCGACGGGCTCTATGATGTCCTTGTTGAGGAGGTCGTCCAGCTGCTCCTCGACATCCTGTCTCCAGCAGAACGGAATGTTCCCCGCTGTCGATAGCGCATGGGGGACGGCGTCATCTGTCAGCTCGATTCGCATCGGCTCTCCCACCATCTTCCTCAGAGGTGACTGGACGTCCAAGACGCGGGGAAACTCAGCCTTCAGTGCTTCAAACTGATGTTTCCGTTCCTGTCCCGAGGGGCGCCATCAGTGCTCTGCTGTCCCGGGGCGTCGCCGCCGGTTCTCTGCCGTGTCGGGGCGGCGCCGCCGGCCCCAGCGAGGCGCTCCGGCTGTGTTATGGGTGGTTCCACCTCTGTGTCTGAGGGCGAGCCGGCTTCTCCCTGCGTCGACGTAGCCTCTTGCGCGCCGCCGTGCGCCACCGCCACTGACACCGTCGGCCCTGTCCCGGCACCGGTAACGCTGAAGTTGGCCGCGCCGCTGTCCGGGACAGACGTGGTCCCGGGGCGCCGGTACCCGGCGGTAACGCTGAAGTTGGCCGCGCCGCTGTCCGGGACAGACGCGGTCCCA